CCGACGATCAAGGAATGATTTTAGACCTCTCCAGTCGCCGTTGCCCCTGCACCGCGGCCCCCCGAGACGGCGCGCCGAGACAGACAATGTAGACTGAGGCAAACAACCCGCGGGCGCGCCATGCGCGGCGGGGGCGTCGTCGGCCGCGCTCGCGCGGAGATGCGATCGCGAAGGGGCGGGGCGCCGATTGCGAGAGAACTCGCTGCGAGGTTTAGACCCCCTTTCCCTCGGATTGCAGCGGGGGCACGGCGCTGCCGACGGCGACCCCGTTTCACATGCTCGCGAATTAACGGGGCATTCAGCCGGACACGCATTGCATTCGCGAGTTGTCTTTCTCTGCGCCGCAATGCTACGTCCGAGCCGGCAGACAGGCGCGCGAGAGACATTTGGGTGAAAGGCCTGCGCCGAGGGACAGCAGCGCGCAGCGCGCAGGGATTCGGGGACTGCTCCAGCACGAGAACAGAGCATAATTGCATTCATTGGTGCGCTCAACGAAGGACTGGGCCTGTCAGATTTCCCCGCGCGCGTGAAGTTGTGACTCGCGGAGGGCTTCGCAAATGGCATCGCGCGAATCATGGCGATCCGCGCGATCGCACGTAAAGGACGGGCACGCATGATGAAGCACGTTGAATATTTTGTGATGCGATCGAAACTTCGACGCGCCCATCCACCTCGCAGCAACGGTAGCCCGCGCGCTGTGCAAAACATGAACAGCAGAAGACAACCGCGTTCTGTCATGAGACTTTGCGCCGCGGTTACACGAAGGGCATGTGAACGAAGCGCGGGCGAGGGGGGCGGCGAGTGCGCGACGCGTTGGACAGCCCCGCGCTTCAGGCGAGGGCCCCCCTCACCGGCTTCCATGTCACGCACGGGCTCGCACGCGGAGCGAACGGCAGAAACGATGGCAAGCCAGTCGACATTGGGATGGCCAATGACTCTCGCAGCATCGGCCGCCGCGTCGTCGCTGGCTTCGCCGCGACAATCGCGCGGCCACTTCCGGACGGGGGCGCGGCGCAGCTGCGGGGCAGGGGCCAGGGGGGGGGCAGGGGCGCGCGCGTCTGTCTGTCTTCAGGCCTGGGCGCGCGAAGCGCGGCAATCTGATTGCGATGTGGGAAGCATTGGATCGCCAGCATTGCAGGGCAACTAGGAGCAGCCATTGCGTCGATGATCATTCCGCGCGGGAAGCGTAGATCCTATTAATCCTATCCCACTAAGGGCGAAGAGCAGACGTGACATCGCAATCCCGGCGAGTGCCTTTTGGCGCGAGGGCCAGGAGAGCCGACGTCGAAGTGGCCGGATCTCCCCGGGAAGTCGAGTTTGCCCATGTCTTCGCGCGGGGGTTCGATTTCGAATCCGTCGCCCCAGTGAACAGAAGATTGCGTCCGGTTTCTTGGCGATGACGACAGCATTGACGATCGAGTCCGCGGGGGGGCAGTCGCGCCGGCGCCGCCCCCCCATGCGCAAGCGGCGCCGAAGTCTGTCTGGGGCAACTTCTTGCGCGCAACCGACTGCGCGCCGGAAACAGGAGATGGCGACGCGTGGCGGCGATCGCGCTGGACAGACTTTTCCGCGTGTTCGCGGCCCAGGAACGAGGCCACAGCTGGCCTCCTGGCGGGCTGCTTTCGCACCTGCGATGAAGTCGCCTCAGTCCTCATCGGGCGCTGCCATAGGGATAGGCCGTGAAATCTTTTCTGCCTGTCCAAAGACTCGCCCCGATCCTCGTTTGGTATTTTCTTCGCGAGATCTCCCGCGCGCGCGCGCTGGCCGCGACCTCGAACTGCGAGGGCACGTATTGGCGTGGTCTGGCCGTGGCCATCCCTGCCCCAGGCACTGTCGGCGCTGTCGGCGCTGACCTTGGAGGAAACGAATCAGTTGGCATCTGCGCGCCGCGGCCGAATGAAGGCGCGGGCAAACCGCTCTCGACGCAATGGCGAGCGCCTGACAAGCGCAGCAGAAAAAAGAGAGAGAGAGAGAGAGAGAGAGAGAGAGAGAGAGAGAGAGAGAGAGAGAGAGAGAGAGAGAGACAGACAGAGTGAGAGAGAACCAAAAATCAAAAACAAAAAAAAGAGAGATAAATGCAATGACAACTGCACGCGCGCAGTGTGAAGCGCGCGGCGCGGGCCGGGATTGTGGGCGGGCGCGACCAGATTACTAACCTGAAACAAGTCGAAGGATGCTGCTACTTCATTGAGCCGCATCATCACCCGTCGCGATGATGGGCCCGCGGGGGGGGGGATCTGCGCGGCGATGTTTCGGGCGAGGGCGCGGGATTGGGCACTCAGAGACGCCCGGCGAGCCCGGCGAGCCCGGAGCATCGCCGGACACGTTCCCTGCGCGGGGGCGCGCGGGGACCCGCGAGGGGATTCTTGCGCGCGCGTCTCGAGCGAGGGCGCCCAACTGGAACGCGAGGGGCGCGCCCGGTGCATCCCTGGAAATGGCCTCTGGGAGCGCGCCAGAGGCCCGCGGGCCGATTTCGCGGGGGCGTCTCGAATGAGGGCGCCAGACTTCGAGTACACGTAAGAGTGACCTTTCGCCGGAGTCACCTTTGGTGCGGGCGCAATGGGGCCCCCCGATCACCGATTGCGATGCGACAGTAGCGTCTTGCGCGCCAGAGTTTGCCGCCCCCGCGGCCCCCCAAAAGCCGCGCACCAGAGGTCACTCTTACCCAGGGTCGCTCTTGCGTGTAGCCGAAGACTGGGGCGCGCCAGGCGCGCCTGCGCGCCCGCGGTGCGCCCCCAGAAGCAGCCTTTATGGGGGCGCGCCGGGGGCCCGCGGGGCGATTTCTTGCGAGGGTGTCTCGAGGGAGGTCTCTAGATTGGGGCATGCCTGGTGCGCATCTTTGGAACTTATCGTTGGTTTCGCGCCAGGAGCCCCTGGTGCGATTTTTGCGCGCATGTCTCGGGCGGGGGGGGCGCCGGGTTGGGGCGCGCCCAGCAGCGCGCCTGGCGCGCCCCCGGAAATTGGCACTGGGGGCGCGCTGGGGGCCCGCGGAATGATTTGCGCAGGACGTCTCGGGCACGGGGCTAAGGCGCTGGGCCGGGGCGCGCCTGGCGCGCCCAGCGCATCACTCGAAGTGCCCCCCGGGGGTGCGCCGGGGACCCGCGGTGCGATTTTTGCAAGGATGTTGCGAGTGCGCCAGATTGTGGCACGCCCAGGTGCATCCCTGGAATCAGGGCCCATGGGGGCGCGCCGGGGGCGCGTGGGGCGATTTTTGCGAGGACGTCTCGAGCGAGGGCGCCGGATTGGGGCGCGCCCAGCGCGCATGGCGCATTCCTGGATATGAATTTTGGGTTCGCGCCGGTAGCCCGTGGGGCGATTCTGGCAAGGATGTCGAGCGAGGGCGCCGGATCGTGACGCGCCTGGCGCATCCCCGGAAAGGGCGCCCGGGGGCGCGCCAGGAGGTTATTATCTCGCGCGCCAGGGGTCCGGATGATGTAGACTCCACAGGAACACTTTAAAATTACTGGGAGACAGGGTTCAGGGGGGCACGCTCAAGTAGCAGCAGGCAAGGTCGACTTTGTCATAACGCGGACGGTCTGAACACTCGGGCCCCCGACGTCGTGGTTTGTTCACAACGTGGCCCCCCCGAGGTCTCGACCCCACCGTTTGTTCATCTTTTGAGTGGTTTTGTTGACGGTTTCGGGCCCCCGCAATGGCCCCGCAGGGGCGGCGAGCTTCCCAGAAACCTTTGTCGCGACTGTTTCATCGGAGGGGGCTTGGGTTCGGGGCCAAAAGCCGACCCCCAGACCCGGCGCGGGGCGCGCCTTGATCACAACCCCGAGGCCCGAGGGGTATCCAGCCGCGGCGACGAGGACTCCCTTGGAGGCCCCGACAAGGGCCCCAAACCGCCCGAGGACGCCTCGATCCTGAGATCGTGGGCGAAAAACATATCCGCATCCGCGGCCTCACGGGCCAGGCTCCTGGGCCGCGACCCCGCGGATGCGTTTCGTTTTTTCGCGGCCGCCCCGTGCGGGACGTATTTGTACGACGGCGTATCCGCGGGATCGCGCCCTGGATCCAGACCGCGAGGGGCGGATGCGGGTAACTATGCTCGCCGCTCGTGTTTTCAACCCCGCAATCCCGAGGCGCTTTGATGCGGCAGATCTCGGCGAGGCCCGCGCCAGAAGTTCTGGAATTACCTGGAGCATGTTGGACAGCTTCTAGGAAACAACGAACGCGCACGAAACCATGCGCAAGGGGAGTATGGGGGAGGGGAGAAGGCTTCTTAGAAGCACCCGTGCCTCTTAGAAAGCGCGGGCCCTGTCCATAGATGTGGGGCCGGCGCCTTCTGAGGAGTAGCCTCCTTCTAAGTAGCCGTTCCCCTTCCTCCATACCACCTTCTTTGACGTAGCGGAAGACTTGCAACATCGCAAACAATCACGATTCGAGCCCCGGACCCTATTGTTCTGCGCCATTTTTCGAGCCGGATCCATCTGTGAAGGTCCCGGGGCCCGAAATTATGCGAAAACGCCCGGCTCGAAAAAATCGAGAGGCCCGAATCTCAGGGATACCACCTTGTGGGCGGCATGGGTTCGGGGGAGCCGCGCAGGGCCGAGCCCCCGAGGGCCTCCTCAGAATCTCTTGGCCCTCGGACGCCGCGGCTGCAATTGGCGGAGGCCGACGCCTCTCGCACGGGAGGCAGCGCCACCTCCTGCGATGAACACCGCCCTTGGGTGCCAACCCCGACGCCGAATTTCAGAATGGCAGCGCTGTAAGAATGAGCGCTGGGAAAGTGACGGCACGGGGCCAAGGAGGCGGAGAGAAAGAGGAGAAAGGAAGGGAGGAGGGAGCCCAAGCAGAGAATGGGTGCCTTCTGCAGAGGGCAGGACGCAGGGCAGCATGCCAGCCGTGAGTTCCTCTCGGGTGCAGTTTTGGGACTATTTGGGAAAACGTCGACCCAAGAGGAGGGTGTTCCTACTTTGCGTCGCCCCTCACGAGCCCGAAACATCGCCAAGAAGCCGCCATGACGACCCAATTTGACCTTTGCGCGCCGCCGACAGGTGTCGGGGTGCGGCAGATCTCCTGCGTGGACGGCGCGAGCCTCGCGGGCCGGGGCGCGCGCCTGCTGCAGCTGGCGGCGGCCGCGCTGCGCGCCGCGCGCGAGGGCGCCTGGCTGGGCCCGGGCGCCGTGGCGGAGGCCGCGGACGCCGCCGCGGCGAGCGGACCGCCGGGCAGGGGCAGGCGCGTTCCCTCCCTCCTCGCTCCTCTGTCCTCCTCCGTCCTCCTCCTCCTCCTCCTCCTCCTCCTCCTCCTCCTCCTCCTCCCCCTCCTCCTCCCCCTCCTCCTCCTCCTCCTGTTCCTCCTCCTCCTCCCTCCTCCTCCTCCTCCTCCTCCTCCTCCTCCTCCTCCTCCATTCCTTTCCTTATACACAACTTCTCCCTGTTGCACCCCGACGCCAGTTTTTAGGGCGGGCCGGGCGTTTCGTCTGAGACTTCCTCATTTTGTTGTGTTGTCGTTTTTTTTTTTGAAGCTTAAAAATTGACAACAGTTTCACACATGGAGGGCGGGTGGTTTTCAAACGTGGCTCTCGCCTTAGCGCCGCGCACATTCGGTTTGAAAATTTGCAAGAGCTTCACGGATTGAGGATCACCTGTTTTCAAATGTGGTTCACGCCTTAGCGCCGCGCACAGTCGTTCTAAGACAACTGCAAGAGCTTCATTGATTGAGAATAGCCCGCTTTCAAAATATGGCTCTCGCCTTATCGCCTTGCACATTCATTCTCAAACATTGCAAGAGCTTCACATATTGAGGATCACCCGTTTTCAAAATGTGGCTCTCGCTTTAGCGCCACGCACATTCGCTTATACATTTGCAAGAGATTCACGGATTCCCACGATTAACGTACCAGGAATTGTGTTTTGGAAGGTTTCATGATTTTGCGGGCGCAACAGTTACGTTGAGTCGCGGTGTTGAAATCCGAAGAATGGCGTTATGGCACGATTCAGGATCGTCAAGACGCAACAGTCAGGTTGATCCGTGGCGTTGGAGTCCCGAGGATAATGGTTTGGCATGCTTCCGGATCTTCAAACAGTTGTCTTCCAACGGGGCGGATCTTCAATGGAAATGAACCGTTGCAGGGGGCCGTGAAGAGGGAGCTCAGTGGGAGGGTGTATTCCAATATCGTTGATGGTTCTTGGGTTTACACTGGTCCTCCTCCTCCTCCTCTTCCCCCTTCTCCCACTCTTCCTCCTCCTCGCTCCTCCTCGCTCCTCCGTCAACCGTCCTCCTCGTCGTCCTCGTCCTCCTCTTCCTCCTCCTCCTCCTCCTTCTCCTTCTCCTCCTCTTCCTCCCACTCGCTCCGCTGGCCTCCTCCCCCTCGTCGTCCTCGTCGTCCTCGTCCTCTTCGTCCTCTTCCTCCTCCTCCTACTCCTATCCCCTTTTCCTCCTCCTTCTTCTCCTTGCTCTTCCTCTTCCTCCTCTTCCTCCTCTTCGCTCCTCCGTCCTCCTCATCCGTCTTCCTCCGTTCGTCCTCCTCCTTCTCCTCCTCCTTCTGTCCCCATTTCCTCCTCCTCCTCCTCCTCCTCTTCCTCCTCTCCCTCTTTCCTCCTCCTGATCCTCTTCCTCCTCCTCTTCCGCCTCCTCCTCCTCTTCCTCCTCCTCCTCTTCCTCCTCCTTCCCCGTCCTCCTCCTCCTCCTTCTCCTCCTCCCCCTGCTCCTTGTCCTCCTCCTCCTCCTGCCATGCCGGGCAGAACAGTAGACAACAGTAGCATAGATCTGAGTGAAGCACAGCAGAGAGTTAGCGCTTTGCAGGAATATCAGTGTGACAGTAGAGAGCTAGCGCTTTGCAGGAAAATCAGTGTGATGTAAAGTCAGAGGCAGCACCTAATTTGGGACAGCAGTTTGGCCTGGGTGGCCGCATTGGCGGCTGGGGAGCGCGCGCAGCAGGTGATGTTTTCCTTCGAACCCTGGTCACCACCAAGGCAAATACCGGCAGTGTCGGCGCCATCGCATAGGTTTCAAAAAGCATAATTCCACTGTTCGTTAATATTCGTTCTTATTCGCAGGTTCGCGTTCCCGCGCGCTGGAGTTCCTGATCTCCTTCGCGCTACGGTGAGCCTTACTTGCTCCGCACTCTCTGTGCGCGGGCGTCCATATTCACGTATTCGAGCTCTACTTTTATGATACATGTATCCCGCGTTTGTTCCTGTGAGGGCACTCGGTTCTGTGACTTCTTTCTCACGGTCCCGCTGCCGATTGAGGATAGTCATGCGCATGGCAAGTGCAGTTGTGCACGCGTGTGTTCAGATTTGCGCTACCTCTCTGGGCTCCGTATGCTGCAAGGGGCCCTCCCAGCAACCGCGGATGGTCGCTCTGCCGCGGGTGCTGCCGACGTGCCCAGAAGGGGTGCAATTGCCATCGTGTGTGACGCCTGACGCCCTGTGCGCACGGAGGCCTCCCGCAGTGTCATGGCCAACACTGGACGCATGCGTGCGATTGTTCTTGGGATGGCCGTTCCCGTCCGAAGGCCGCTGGCGGCGGAGCAACCACGTTGTCGGGAGTCCGTGGGCATGCTTTGCGCCATGCCGTTCGTTGTTGTAGTTATAAAGTAATTGCCGTTCTAATCGTGCGAGGAAAGCGACGCTCCTTCTGGAACCCTGGCGCAGGATGGCTTTGTGGAGGCGCGAGCACCCCAAATATTGGAGCTTGAAAGAATTTCGCAGCGCGGTCCATAGCTTACTCTACCTGCAGTTGCTTGTCATTCATGTGCCTTGTTCGTCACCGTGTTTATTTTCCAACCACCGCGAGTCGTTGACCGGCCTTTACGCGCGGGCCGGGTCATACGGCTACGATGTCGGGATTGGTCACGTTTTTTTGTAAGATGCGCGCTGAAACCAGTGGCCTCGTACTGCGTTGGTTGGAGCATTTGACGTTGAGAGCGCTAAGCACCCTCAAGAAAACAATATGGTTCGCTATCTGCTCATGCGCCGGACACATTTTCATGACACAAATTTCTTTGTTGCGCGGGCGGGCCCGGGGCCTGCCGTCCGGGCAATGGAGCGTCTGGAGATTGCCAGTCGCCGACTTATCGCGAATGGCCCACGCGGGCGGCAGAGCCAGGCGGTGCAGTTGCTCCTCCCGTCGTGGACCCGCCCCCCCAAGCATGCACGAGAGGTGTCGAGACACGGACCGTTTGATGCTGGCCTAGGATTGGCCCCGCGGTTCGGCCGTCCAGTCGGCATTGCGCCCGCCCCCAACCCTAGGTTACTTCAGCAGTGGTACAACGAAGCGCAGCAACGTTTGCTTTGCATGGCGTTCGCGGGCCGATCGTTTTTTTTTTTGCTGACTGCCACACTGTACTTTGGCGCGCTGGTTGGGAAGGAGGCACGCGTGCATGCCATGGCGGCTCCTCGAGCGCAGGTGGGGCGTCGACAATGGCGCTGTCGCGATGGACTCGCACCTGCACCTCGTTCCCGGCGCCGGTAGGAAGTCGGTGGCCACGCGAGGGGGGATCCGCGCTCTGGCTACCCGATTCCTTCGGCCAGTTTCGGGCACGACGCGTCGTGCTACTATTCCCCACGTTGTCCCCGCAATCCTCCGGGCACATGATTCCAAAGTGCGCGACGCTGGGGCGATGTGGGCGACATGCGAGCAGGATTGGTTGCTCTCACCGATTCATGTTGTAATGTGTTTGCCTAGGAAGCATCGGGACTGCTGGACTGCCCCTGCTGTGAGCCATCGCGCGTGCGTCCATGAGTTGCTCCAGGCCCCGACGCCCCAGCTACGCGGCGCAGCCTCAGGGAGAGGGGCGTGGCGCGTCGACGGGGCGCAGTCCTGCCGAGGAGTGCGCGGCGGCAGCAAGGGGCGTCCGCGCGATGCTCGTCAGCCTTGGCGTTCCAGCCTCGGCGGGCGAGTTGGCCGCATTCCGCGCCGCCGCAATTTTCCTGAACGCCTTGTTTACCGGCGAGCACGAGATACTGAGGACTGCTATACTGAGGACTGGTCTAGTCGTCAATACGCATTGTGCACTTGCGACAAGAAGAGGAGGAGGAGGGGGAGGAGGAGGAGGAGGAGGAGGAGGAGGAGCCCCCGCCGCCAGTCACGCCGCGCAGCTTGTCGAGAGCAGACCTGGCTTCTGTACGGGTGCAGCTTGCGGATGAGAGACCGCATGTTATGCACCCCTTCGCCGTTATTGGGGACGGTGGGCGGAGGCTGTGGTGTACTGTGTGTGTTGGATGCGGGCTGGGAGGAGTCAAGATCTCTGCGAATTTGTCACAGGGTTGTCGGGGCCCTCCTGCACCAGGCACGTGGGGTGCTCGAGTCCTCTCGGGCCTCGCGCGTGCGCCTGCACGTTTCCAGGTCTATCGGGTGTGGCGGTGCCTCGTGGATCCGCTGCGCACGGCCTCCCTGGTCCGTGCAGGAGTGGTGCAGCCGCTCTCCAGCAGCGCTGCGCAGTGATGCGCGGCTTCCAGTCTGCCAGCCTGTGTGCGGGCCTCGCTTTTCATTTCTGGGCACCGTTCGGGAGGCGCCACCCGCCTCTGGCTCTGGCCATGCGGTGGCGCAAGTGGCACGTGGCGCGGACAACCTTGTTCGCGTTCAGGCTGAGTCGAGGAGGCGGAGGAGGAGGAGGAGGAGGAGGAGGAGGAGGAGGTAGGGTTTGGCCTGAGCCCCCGCGCACAGGGCACACGCGATACCGAACTCTGCCCTCACAGGTCTGACCCCAGGCGCGCATAGTTGCCGCGCGTCGGCGCCCTTCGTGCTTCGGCGGCCACGGGCGACGAGGCGGAAGCGTCCTGGCATAGGAGAGCGAGGCGCGCGCGCCCGTGGGCACGCACCTTGGCCCGCCTTGGCCAGGCCGCTGGATTACTCGAGGCGCATCATTCTTCAAGCCGAGGCAGAGAGGACCGAATGGTTTGGAGGCGAGATGGGTCTAGAGGAGCAGCAGCACGCGGTGCAGCGGTGCGTGCTGATGCATCAGGCCCAGCAGGAGCTCCACGATATTGGAATCTATCAGATCGGCCCACTGCGCCTTGGCGAACGCAGCAAGCCAGCAGAGGCAAAGGAGCAAGTGCAAAAGGTAAGGGCCATGGAGGAACGACCTGGTTGCTCGAGAGGGACTGGGCCTACGACCCCAGCTACGAGGAGGCGAACCAGTGCCCGAAGCAGCCCAAGGTCAAGCCGAAGGGCCCGCTCTGGAAGTGCGCCCACTGCGGATGTGGGAAGAGCACCGAGGCAATGCAGCACTGCAAACATTGCGGCGAGGTCAAGTCTGAAGCGGCCTCCAACGCCCTTGCGATCCTGGGCAGTGGCCAGCGACATGCGAGGCCAGGCATCCTGCGGGAGCGGTCTGCCACCCCAGGAGCTGAGCACGGAGGACGGGGACTTGACCGTGATGCTGCAGGAGCTCGGACGCGATCAGTGTCGTTTGCGGACTCACCCAGGGCGGCCCCGAATGTCACGGAGAGCGAGCTCAAGCAACTCATCGTTCTCACCGAGAGAGCAGGAGACGCTGAAGGCAGCAGAAGGTATAAGGAGCAGCTCCGCAAGACGCAGGAGAGCTGCGTGGTCCCGCCGCTGCAGGAGCGCGCCTCCGCCTTGCACTCGCAGATCCTGCAGTTCGAGCGCATCATGGGGACGGAGCTGGACAAGTTGGATCGCATCAACTACCAGGCCTCGTTGCAGCGCCAGACGGTCCAGGAGGTGCGCGAAGCCTTGGACGAGGCTGACTCGCTGTATCGCAACCTCGTGGCGGAGCTGGCCTAGCAGGGAGGTATCTCATTGGCCAAAGGTGGACCAGCGAAGATCCCAATCTCCAAGGTCGTGGACGGCGCTGCTGAGGCGGTCGAGCTGTTCGACGTCGACGAGTTCTTCAATATCGATGAGTACGCCCTCACCGACGATGACAAGAAGGAGCTGGCCGAGAGAAAGGCGGCGCTCAACCTGCAGGTGCAGACCACTGCTAAAGATCTGTTTGCTGGTGCAGTTGGCGATCTGCAGCGCATCGAGGCCGATCACCTGGAGCATCTGCAGCGGATGCGACGGGGGCGACCTAGGCGAGGAGACGATGACCAGGCAGGAGCAGCCACAGGAGATGAAGGAGGGCCTGGCGCAGGACAGGGCGGCGGCGCGGCGGCTGCGGCCACTGCTGAGGCTGCCGCCTCTGAGCCCCCAGGCCAACCGGTCAAGCCAGAAGCCGCCGCCCCAGATGAACCCAAGGGGCCTCCTGCCCCAGGGGCCCCTGGCTCGGGATCGGTTCCCCGGGCGCCCGCTTCCCAGGGGGGCGCCTCCTGTGCCCGGGGCGGTGGCAAGGCAGACCCAGTGCAAGCGAGTGCAGGGGTCCGCCAGAGAGCGGCTGCAGCGCTTGGCAGGCCAGAAGGAACGTCCAGAGGCGATAGGTCTGGACCTTCCTTGTCGCCCGCCTGTAGCCAAGCTACCCCCCTCGCCTGAGGTTGGAGACCTTAGGCAAGGGGGTGCCCATGATATTCAACAAGTTGTTACATGTAATTTGCTGCCCTTCGAAGCCTTACGTGTTGTGCGCGAGCATAGGTTGCAGCGCAGGCGCGGACAGGATCTGGCTAAGTATTTCCAGGATGTCTTGGGAGGTCTGCACTTGGGCGAGAGGTCTTGTGTCTCCCCCCAGACCTCCGAGGGCGATGCTGTCGCGGCTGGCGCGATTCCGCCAGAGCCCGCTTTTTCATTTAAACTTGCCCCCGCACCCATTTTCCAGCCTGCCCCCGAGCAGGCCCCTGTCAGTAGCAAGCGTAGTAAGGTTCGTTTTAAAATCGAGACAGCCAACACCACGTTTTGGAAGTCTGCCAAGAGATACTTGGAGAGAGAGAGAGAGAGAGAGACGGACGCGAGCCTGGTGATGCCCCAGGAGATCGCTACCGAAGCAAAGGAACGCATGGAACACGAAGGAGCAGTCAAAAAGATGAACTGGAACATGTGCCTCCATCCCTCTGTTGTAACGGAAGCAGGGGGCATTAGTTCAGGCGTTGCTGTGGCCTCCTTGGCCCACATCGGGATGGGGAAGATACCTGGGCAGCCGCGGCCTCTGTATGCGCCGTCAGGAGTGTGTCTGATTGGGGTGAACGCCTTCATCCCTGGAGGCTTTGTGGCGGGGTCCGTGCACCTCCCACAGAGGGCCCCCCTGGGCCCAGAAGGCTCACAGGTACTGGCCCGTCTCGGCGAGATTCTCCATGCACTAGGACTCCCTTTTGTTCTTGCAGGAGACTGGAATGTGGAACCGAAGGAGTTTCACGCCTTCGGCTGGGCGCAGAAGATCGGAGGCGTGATCGTGGCGCCGCAGCAGGCGACTTGTCGGTCTACGGCTAAGCAGTGGCGAGTTCTAGATTTTTTCGTCCTATCGCGAGGGCTCGCGCCATGCGTGCACCAGTGCACGAGGTACGAGCAGGCGACCACTGCTCCGCACTGGCCAGTTACTTTAGTTCTGCCAGGTGACCCGATGGAAGCCAAACGTTGGGTGCTGCCCAGAATGATCAAGTTCCCCACGGAGTTGCCAAGTGGACCTCGGCCCCAGCCCCCTGATTATCAAGCCTTACTTGTGCAAGCGGAGGCCCGAGGGACCTCCGAGGAGCTCAATGGCGTTTTCTTGGATTTTCTGGCTTCCTTCGAGTCGGAGCTATGCGACATTTATCAGGGTCCTAGAGACAAGTATGGGGGTCGAGCCCACCAGAGGAAATATATTCAAGTCAATTCACTACGTACTGCAGGTGGTGCTTACCCAATTGCGTGTCCAGGGAGTAGGTCTTGGAGGAGGGTCTCTGTTTGGTTCCAGGAGTTGCGCCGCATCAAGGCCAAGTCGGACTCCTGGGGCTCCAAAAAGACCCATGACCTCATCAAGCGAATACTGGCTGGTCCTGGGAATCTTCGGAATCATCCGGATTGGTTTCTTGGAAGCCGACCTCGTCCAGTGACCTGCTGTGCTGCTCCGAGTCGGGCTTGCTGGCTTGGCAACCCGAAGCAGGACTTTGGGCTGAAAGGCTAGAAAAGAAGTTGTCAAGTAGGAGAGCTGCCCAGTGGAGAAACTAGGTAGCTGAGGCGGTCAAAGGGGGGCTGGCCAAGCTCACCAATACACCAAGACCCCGCTCGGATGGAATCCCAACCCGTCCATCATGCCAGGCCAGCCCCCCACCCCTGGGCCTAGTGAGTTGATTCAGGAACAGGAGGACCTGTGGAAAGGCATTTGGCGCCCGCCGCCAGTTGCCAGCAAGCTTCCCGACGCGATTGGCGAGCTCGACCATTTGACTGCAGAGCAAGAGCATGAAGGTCGAGAGATTTTTCCACCAGTTGCCTCGGCAGGTGACATCAGGCGCGCAGCAGGCAAGTTCAAGCGTCGGACAGGACTAGGAGCGGACTCTGTGCACCCACGAGACGTAGGTCTTGTTTGCGATGTTGCACTTACCGTTCTGGGGCTGATCTGGCATTGGGCTGAACGTCTTGGGCATCTTCCTTCTCAGTTAGCTTTGCACCTCATAGTCTTATTGCCCCGACCTGACCATGGGTTTAGGCCGATCGGGTTATTGCCAGGGATCTGCAGGGTTTTTGGACAGCTTAACCGGCCTGAAGCAGACCGTTGGGGAAATCGTGAGGTTCGAGATTTTCACTACGGGTCCCGTGGCCGCAGTTGTGAAAGAGCTGTCTGGGAGCAAGCCCTGTCTGGAGAATTTTCGAAGCTGGATAATATCCCCTCGGCGGCTGCTCTTATTGACTTAACGAAGGCCTACGAGAAGGCCAACCACTATTTACTCGTGCAGGCGGCGATTAAATATAATTTCCCGCTCGCGAGGCTGCGCCTTCTACTCCGCCAGTATCGAGCAGCCAAGCTTTTGCATATAGGTGGCATGGTGTCGAATGCTATTGAGGTGTGGCAAGGTATTGTTGCTGGTTGTTCGTTTGCCACGTCCCTTATGAGGCTTATCTTGTTAGCGCCGTGCGATGCCGCCCGTCTGCATTGGCAAAGTGTCAGAATTTTCCACGTGGTCGATGACCTTACCCTTTTCGCCTCGCTGGTGGCCGATCGGCTCGGCGTGATCATTGGCAGCGCGGCGGCATTCATATGTATGCAGCTCGAGAAGCTGCAGCTGGTTGTGTCTAAGGATAAGGGCGTCATCATGTCAACTAACTCGGAAGTTGTTGCTGCTATCCAGAGGAGATTACAGAAATGGGATTTCGTGATTACTAAGTCGGGTAAAAATCTAGGTACCGATCAGAGTTTGACCAAAGGCAGGAGAGCCACCAAGGTGCAGACGGGGCGTTTTGCTAAGCTACGACCCAGGCGGTCCCGTTTCAGAGGTCTCAGGACGTTCAAGGGTCCCGCGAAGGTCGTCAACGTGGGGGCCTTCCCTTCGGCGCTCTATGGGACCTCGGTGGTGGGCCTCTCCAACAAGAAGCTGGTTGAACTGAGGGCCATTCTGGCCCAGGCTGTTTTTGGTACTCCTAAGGGGCGCTCGAGGACTCTGGAATTCCTTCTTGGGCCTGATCCTGGAGGCGATCCAGAATATGCTGCGAACTCTGGGCCTATCGTGATGTGGATCGCGGCGTTGCAGCAGAGCTGGGCCCCCGAGTTGCACCTTAAGACTTGTTGTGCGAATGTTCAAGCCATTCCTGACCGAGGATGGGAACGCGTACAAGGACCCGCTGGCGCAGTAGTGTGCACACTGGATAGACTTGGCTGGACCATCAAGTCTTGGGATTCCTGGGAGACGGACCAGGGGCCCCCTGTGAGCCCGAGGTACCACGGCAAGAGGACGCTCAAGAGCGTCATCCAGGCGAGCACCCTGCGCTGCCTCATCAAGAGTTTAGGGGGGCCCCAAGGCAAAGTCGAAGGCCTACCAGGTGCACCCTGCTTGGAGCCGCTAGTCGCTATGTGCCGAGACCTTCGAGCGCATGGCCGATGTGTTTCGGCAAGCAGGCTTGCAATTGCAGCTTCAGGAGGCCACGTGACCCAGCCCGAGTTTTTTTTTCTGACAGAAGAGTTGTTGACGGCCATTGTCAGTGGTGCAAGCGTGCGCTGGGCACCAAGTCTCACAGATTCTACGACTGCGATGCGCAGATGCTCTTCTTGAGTAGCCTGGATTTGGACGAACACCTCGATGAGGAAAGGCGTGCTGATGAGTATGATGTAGGCTACACAAGATGCCTTTTTGAAAGTCCTGAATGGCAGTGGCCAACCCCGTTCATCAAGGCGGAGCCTAGATGGAGCTGCGCCCCACCATCAGGACTGCTGGACTCAAGCTACATACGTCTTGACGGCTCGGGTTTGGACCAAGATAGTATGACGTTTGCTCGAGCAGGGCATGCAGTCGCGGGGCTAGACGAAGGGGGTAACATCCACGGCAGTCTGTGCGGTCCTCTCCCGCACCTCCTGCAGCTTGCAGGGCGTGGAGAAGTGCATGCGTTGCTGGTTGCTCTCAGGCATATGGATGCAACCCCAGCGATAATCGCCGCCGGCTGTAAGATGGTGCTCGACATTCGGAATGCTGGGCCAGGACAAGATTTAACGAATACATGTTTTTTTTTTTATGAACTGTGGCATGATGTCTTTCGGGTTGCTGAAGACACAGAATATTTCATATTAGTTTGACCAAGGTTAAATCGCATTTGAGCGGCACGGCGGCACTGGATGCAGGTATGAGCTACTGGGTTTGGTTCGGAAATCGTGGAGCTGACAGACTTGCCAAAGTCGGAGCCAGTGCCCGGGCTAATCTTCCTTATGTGCGAGCCCAGTGCGATCTACTTGCCAGTACAGTGAGGAGTTCAGCGATCGTGGTCTCGGGGATCCTCGACCGTCTAGCCAAGCAGAATTTCCCATATGTCATGAAATATCGCAAACCCGGACGTGCTAAACCCGCACTTCTCGAACTGATTCCAGATCCCTTGGGCCGCCAGCTAGCCAGAGTAGGGAAAGGTTTCATGTGCGTTCG